CTGGGTAAGAACATCATTCATTATGCAATTTGATAACATAAGATTGTCTTATTGATACACTTAACAGAACTGCTTCTGTTTCACTTAACAGAACTTTTAAAGAAAATGTTTGACTCTAGTAAGGCATGTGAAACAAGTGGGGGAATTTTGTAAAATTTAGTAACAAACAATCCAATCATCTCAGGGTCTTAGGAACTAGCTTGGTTTCACATGAACTAGGCTCCCCCGCTCCCCCGCTTTGGAAAGGCAGATATACAAAGAGGAGAAACAGAAAGATCTTCTGTCCAATGGTTCACTCCACAAGTGACTACAACAGCCAGAGCTAGGCCATCTGAAGCCAGGAGCCAGGACCTTCCTCTGGGTATCCCACACAGGTTCAGGGTCCCAAGGCTTTGGGCCGTCCTCCACTGTTTTCCCAGGCCACAGTCACGGAGCTGGATGGGAAGAGGAGCAGCTGGGACACAAACTGGTACCCATATGGGATCCTGGCACATGCAAGGTGATGGCTGTAGCCACTCAACCACCACGTCAGGTCAAACATGAACTAGTTTTATGACTCACTACAAGACCTATCAGACCTAGTATTGATTTAGAAAACAACAAATTTGGTCAAGTGTCCAATGGAGCTGTGTAGTAGCTAGACTGGTTTTATCTGAGCTATAAAAATTACAGCAGGCAGTATTATCGCTATTAGAAATAATTTAGCAAATTGAAGGCAATATACATGGACGGGGAAGGACTTAATGTGCTTGTGCAGTTTAGATGATTGAAGATCCAACATAAAGGCTTCTGCTGTGATAAGGATTAACTACATAGCAATTAATGATGGTCTGAAGTGGAATGATAACCACAAAATGGAGAACGTAATAAAAATGTCCCTACATAGGTACTAAACTAAGAGCTATAAATGTTTTATGGCAACAATCTGGAATTGTAAAATGGTCTGGTGCGGTGCTAGATGCGCTCTCCTATTGTAGAGGATTAATACCAAACCACACATACATGAAAAAGGAAGGTAATTAATGCAGTGACAATCAGATTCCTCCCAAACTGCAAAGCTAAGTGATGCCTTCTATTAAAGTGCAGCTAAAGCTCTGCTGAATGATCAATGAAAATATTCACAGTTTTGCATCATTAACAAGTGAGAAGACAAAAGTATATAAAGTTCATTGTGGCAGTCTGGAGCAGATATTCCCAAAGATCTGCTATGACACAGGCTGAGGGGAAACACAGCGGATGACAGGTACAGACAAGGCATGATGACCCTGATCCAAAAATAAAATGGAGCAATGCACTTCACAGTCTTAATGTAAATGCAGATGAACAGATTTATAGGTAACTCACATTTATCAGAAGCTTTTATAAAATGTGCTGGAGGGCATGGCGTGATGGCTCAATGGCTAACTCCTCACCTTGTAAGCACCAAGATCCCATGTGGGTGCTGTTTCGTGTCCTGGCTGCTCCACTTCCTATCCAGCTCCCTGCTTGTGGCCTGGGAAAGCAGTAGAGGATGGGCCAAGTCCGCAGGCTCCTGAACCTGCACAGGGGACCTGGAAGAAACTCCTGGTTCCTGACTTCATATTGGATCAGCTCTGGCCATTGTGGCCATGTAGGGAGTGATCCAACAGTTGGAAGATCTTTCTCTGTCTCTCCTTCTCTCTATAAATCTGATCTGCCTTTCCAATAAAAATAAATAAATCTTAACAAACCAAAAAAGAGCTGGAATGAATCTCTTGTCAACAGTAAATCCTATCTGTGAACAGGAAGCTCTGGCTCAACTATGACACATAGTGGCAAGTCTGGGAGTAGTGATATGGGGAGGCTGGGTTGCAATTTAAGTTCCTTTGTCTCAGACTCCGAGGCAGTTGCTGCAGCTTAGGACACCTTGTGTTCAAAACTGCCACACTGGAATGAAAGAGGAAATAGCAAAGTGGCAATAAGAGGCTTTCTTCACAGAATGCTCTCTGACCAAAAAGGATCATCCTTCCAGGAGCCCACCCTCAGGAGACTTTTTTACATCTCATTGGTTCTGGCCAGTGAGAAGAAAAGTAAGGACGGGAGTGGCTTTGTGGCACAGCATTTTAAGCCTCTACCTGAGATGTCATTGTTCCATATGGGAGCCAGTTAAGACACTGGATTACTCCATTTTTGATCCAGGTCTCTGCTAATGGGCCTGAAAAAGCAGTGGGGAAATGATCCAATTGCCTGGGCCCCTGGTGCCCATGTGCGATGCATGGATGGAGTTCCAACCTCCTGACTTTAGCCTGGCCCAGGAGACATCAATGCAGCCATCTGGGAAGTGAACCAGCAGATGGAAGGTCTCTGTCTCACTCTGTCTCTGTAACTGTGCTTTTCAAATGAAGCAATAAATTTCAAAGCAAGGAAGGAAGGAAGGAAGTAGGAAGAAAAGAAAGGAAAGAAGGCAAGTGAGAAGGTGGAAAGGTGAGAAGGAAGGAAGGAAGGGGGCACAAGCAGACAGATGATTAATAGTACTTGCCACATGGGCCAATGGACCAGAAAGTCTATTCTTGTTAAAGATACAAACTAGGAAATATTAAAGAAAAGTTCATTGAGCAAATGAGTTTTGTTTCTTCATGCCACAAATATTTACAGCACTTACTTAGAGCATTTACTTGTGCTGTTCTTGGTGCTAAGAGAACAAAACAAAGTTTCCACGCCCTCAAGGAGTTTGTACTTCTTTTGCAAAATCTATTATTTGAGATGCAGAGAAACAGGGACAAAAGCAGACAGGAGATGGGAGGAAGGGGTGGAGGTGGGGAGCTCCCATCTACTGGATTTCTCTCCAAATGTCCATAGCATCCCTGGTCAGGCAGAAGCCAGAAGCCTGGGAATTCAACCCAGGTCTTCCTCTTGAGTGGCAATATTCCAACCACTTTAACCATCATCAACCAGATCCCAGGGTCCACGCTAGCAGGAAGCTTGAATTGGGAACCAGGATTCAAACTGAGGTACACCACATGGGACATATCTTAACCACTGGACCAAATGTCTGTCCCCCTCAATGATCTGATTAAAAAACTGTGCATCTTGAAGAAGAGTACTCCTGTTTCAACAGTGAGTCAGAAGACTGTCCTCCATACTTACCAATTCACAAAAAAAACCAACTTGGTAGACTGTTTACACAGTATACCACAGTCAGCTACATTATTTAAGAATGCATTAAGATACTGATAACACACATTTGCTACAGCATTTTTCTATTAAAAACGCATTATACATTATCATCTCCCCCCTTTCAAGGCTTAATTTACAGTTTTAGGTTCATGGCAAAATCATGAGGAAGGTGCAGAGATCTCCTTTCCTGACATATGAACAACTTCTACCATTACCCACAATCCCACCACAGGGTACACCTGACATACCCTGACATATCTCAGTTCCTCAGAGGCCACAGATTGTGAGGGCTCTCTCCTGGTGCTTTAGATGAATACACAGTGCGTTTCTACAACTACGGTATGCAGAGTACATTCACTGCCCTAAAAATCCGTGGAGCTCTACCTAGTCATCCTATTCTGTACCCCCTGTTCTCCTTTTTTCCTTAACTTGTTTACTTAGGAGATAGAAACACAGAGAGAACTCTGCCCTGCTGGTTCACTTCCCAAAAGCCTACAACAGCTGGGGCTGGGTCAGGCCAAAGCTGGGAGCTGAGATCTCAATCTGGGTCTCCCATATAGGTGACAGTGCTCCAACTACTGAGCCATCACCACTGCCTGCCAGGACAGCAAAAGGCAGGACTCGGAAATGCTGCCAGGACTCAGACCGCACCCTGGGGCGGGCTGTGGGACCTTCACCACCACATGAAATGTGCTTCCTACTGATCTAATTCTTAACTATCTCCAAGTGTGCCTTCTCTAGACTGTCATATAGTTGCAATCCTAATTGCAGATTATCTTTACTTCTCCATTGTGAAAAAAGAAAAAGATCATTACACAGGCTCCAGAAGAGTGAAAATCTGAGTGTGTTCCTCCCAAATCATTTAGCATACCTTGCAAACTACAGGTTTTTCAGAAACAAGGCTCCGAATTTAAGCATGTCCAAAGACAGAAGCCAAAGTCCTTAAAAACCCAAGTTGATCACTCAATGCCGAGTGACAGCCCATGAGAGAAAGGTGGGATAATGTGATACCTGGAGTTTCAGTTGTGTCTGAAAATAATTTACTAGAGTTTTTTTTAGAGAAATAACCTCCAAGAAGTCTACTGAATGTATTTAGGGAAAAATAAAATAGGGTTTGGAATATGTTAGTCATATTCTATCGGCCCTATTTCTTTTAGCCTAAGTGAAGGAAAAGTGGCAGATACCCCTACTTTCAGGTGCAATGAGCCCCACAAAATAGATCCCTGTTAGCAGATCTGGGAGAGTCACCAGTCAGTTCTTTAAAAGGGACAACATTAATCAATAAAGACCTTCTGATGGGCCTGGCGCGGTGCCGCAGTGGTTAAGGTCCTCGCCTTGCACGCCCGGGATCCCATATGGGTGCCGGTTCTAATCCCGGCACCTCTGCTTCCCTTCCAGCTCCCTGCTTGTGGCCCGGGAAAGCAGTCGAGAACGGCACAAAGCTTTAGCCAAGACCCTGCACCCGCGTGGGAGGCCTGGAAGAAGTTCCTGGCTTTGGATCGGCATAGTATCGGCCATTGCGCTCACTTGGGGAATGAATCTTCAGACGGAAGATCTTCCTCTCTGTCTCTCCTCTCTGTATATCCGCCTTTCCAATAGAAATAAAATAAATCTTAAAAAAAAAAAGACCTTCTGATAAGAGAGAATGAAATGCCAAATCCTCCATGATAGGACAATACAAAATCCCAATGAGTTAGTCTCCCACATTTGGAAGTACAAAAACTACTCATTTCCTAGCCCCAAACAGGGCAGAAGAGAAGCAAGAAAAGGTCAAAGTGCAAACTGTCACTTCAATAAAACAGGAGTAGGTGTGTGGGGGTGATAAAAGAAGCAGGGTCGCAGAAAGAAAAAATGCCTCGACTTACTTTTTGCTGAGCCGAGGATCCAGAGGAGGGTGCTGTGCTCCATACACAGGCTGGATGCTAAAGGCAAGAGAAAGGGGAAAAGAAACTTGTCAGGAAACAGTATGTTGGCTCTGCATCCTCTGCATCGCAAACTACAAAAGGACTTACAGAAGTGGGTTAGTTCCAAGAACAGCTATACCCAAGCTGCTCTTAAAACAACAAATAAAATAAAGCATTTAACAATATACATTTTCTCTGGTGATGGTCTTCAGTTTGAAGAGGGCAGAGGTCAAATATCAGTCAATGTTGGCATCCAACACCAACATGAAATTACAGAGTTATCTGACTACTCTGAGCTTGTTGTCTCATCTGTAAAACCTGGCTGCACACTGCCTGATTTAAAGGCTCCCTAGCCTGATAGGGAAGACAACTATTTCAAAGGGATGGCAGTTCTTACATACTGCAGGCAGGGTGAAAGGTGACACAACTACTTCAAACAAACAGTTGAGCCATATGTAGGAAGAATGCAATCTACATAGCCTAAGACCCTTTTTCACTCTCAATTACGTGTCTGAAAAGGCCAGCAGCATTGTGGCATGGCACATAAATTCACAAAACCACACCCCATATGGGTATGATTCAAGACCCGGTTGCTCCACTTCTGATCCAGCTCCCTGCTAATGGCTTTGGAAAAGCAATGGAAGATGGCCCAAGCCTCTGAGCCCCAGCAACCCAAGTAGGAGACCAGGAGGGAACTCATGGTTCCTGGCTTGGCCTGGCCTAGCTCTGACCATTGCAGCCATCTGGGGAGTGGATCTTTCTCTCTGTCTCTCCCTCTCTCTCTAACTGTAACCCTGACTTTCAAATAAGTAAATAAATATTAAAAAGAAAAATGTCTGAAGAGAAAAATATGCATATATGTATCAGAAGATATATGGAAAGCTATTCAAAACTCCAAGCTTATCTCATATGTCCAACAACAGTAAACAGAGAAAGTGTAATAGGTCCCTGTAACACAATACTATACTGGTGAGTAGCTAGGAAGCACGACTGCACATAACAATGTAGATGGAGCTTAGAAATTTCATTTTGAGCAAAAGAAGCATTGTATAAAAGGGTAATACCGAATGAGTCTACTTATAGATACTTCAAAAACTAGCAGAAATAGGCTGCAGCACCTGTTGGCGAATGCTGGGCCTGGGAATGGGCCATGCCAGACTGGGCCACAGTACCTGTTTGCGTGCATAAGACCTGGGACTGGGAGTAGGTCTGGCAGGAGAACTTTAGACACTCCCATGCTAGGCCATGGCTTCCACTGGTGAGAGTGAGATCTGGAACTGGAGACAGGCCGGTCCAGGTTGGGCTAGGATGCTGGACTTGCTGGTGGACGTGAGAACCAGAATGGGTGTGTTCCAGCCAGGTTAGGCCACAGCAACCTGCTGGCAAGTGCGAGAACTAAGTACGAGTCATATCAGGCTGGACCTGATATGCCTGACAGGCACAAGATTTGGGGTTGGTAGCAGGCCTGGTAGGGGGACTATGGGCACTGCCCTGCCTGGCTACAGATCCCACTGGTGAGAGCCATGGCTGGGGATGGGCCAGGTTGGACGAGGTGGCAGCATGCTGGGTCTCAGGGTGGGGCCAGCTGAACTAAGGGGCAGTACCCATTGGTGTGCATGAGAGCTGGATGGAATGTGGGCTGGGCTGGGCTATGCAGCACATGCAAGCACATGCAAAATCAGGGCCTGGTGGGGGTTATCAAGGGTAGTGCTGACTAGTCTGCAGTACCTGCTGGTGTGCATGAGGACTGGTTTGTGATGGACTGGACTGGACTGGACTGAGCTGGGGTAGGCTACAGTACTTATCTGTTCATATGAAAGATGGGGCTGGTGGTAGAACTGACTAGGCAGGTCTGTGTGTTGACTGTTGCCGGTGATGGACCAAAGTTGATTCTGCACGAGCTGGCACCCATGAATCAACTCCGAGGTCTCCCCAGGTAACGTTTCTTGGGGGACTCCCCAGCTAGATTGCTGGATTTAAACCCCAGCCACAGTGAGAATCACAGGATGTGTAGTTGACCTTGCAGTACATGTATTGGGACTGGGACTTCTCAGTTGCTGATGCCTGTGCAGTGGACAGCACGCTCAGATGCACATGGGGGACATGACAGCCAGCTCATCTAGGACAGCAGAGAACACTGAGTTCCACATCAGAGGATGCCTGTTCCATCCAAGCAGAACAGGTCGGAGAGCTCTCCTGGCCAACCTTTTCAACAAGTACCTGGGTCTGTGGACACACTAAGGTGGACTTTATCAATCAACAGACCTTGAAAACATTTTTCTCAACCCTGGAGTAATGAGGCCAACAACATCTCAGAACTATCAAAACCACTCCAGTAACACCCTTGGAACATGCTTCCCCACATCAGGGTCTCAGGCGTCATCAAATGACCATCACCCATGCCCAGGTGCTAATGTAGTTTTACAGCAAGAAGTGGTCCCTCTTCCTCCCACCCAAGCAGACACGTAAGGAAAAAAAGAACTGAAACATTTGTCCTACCCACCTTCCCCCATACCTCAACCCTCCCCATCCCAATTGGAGGCCCACATGGGCATGCATCCCCCTCAATTATGTAAATAATATTAAAAATAAAATTAAAAATTAGAAAAAAAGAACCTGGAGAAAATAAATCCTATTGTTTAGGGATAAATGCATATTAGTAACATTAATAAAGCAAGGAGCAATTAACATAACAGTGTGTGGTTTTTCTCAGGGAGTAAGGGGCCTCTGGGGCATCTACCTTGCGGCCTTTCATCAAGCCCTCACGTGCTTTTCTGTAGGTAGTACACAACAATTAAAAGCAAAAAATGGGGGTGTGGGAATTAAGTGTGTGTGTGCCAAGCCAAACTCATATTCAAGCACAGAGGTGACAGAACACGTTTTTCAACATGTAATGACTCGGGGGAATATGCTTTCCTGACTGCTGCCTGAAGAACCCTGCAAAGGACAAGCACCAGTGACCCATGAGCTGAACAGAGAAACCTTGAAACAGACATTGGCGGAGAGGCGTGTGCTGATCTAACCTCAGAGCTGAGCCTCAAGTTGGAAGCTGGGTGGGGGGCAGGAGAGAATGTAGAAGTAGCCTGACAAATGTTAGCAGGGGAAGAAGAGAAAGGAGGGCCAGGGCTTAAAAGATATTTAAAGCTGAGAGCTCAATTAGTACAGGCATGTGTGTGTTCTAATTTAGAAAATAAAACTAATAAAAATATTGTGTTCAATGCGGCAGAAAGGGCAGGATACAGAACTATTAATTGCATCACTGTTCATGGTAGGGAGTCAACAGATACTGTCTAAACAATGTGGGACAAAGTTTCTGTTGGAACTGATGGAATCATGACTCCTTATGAACGACTATACTATTGTAGCAATGTGGGGAAAATCTGTGGGGTGGGTTGGGAGGAGAGTTTTTTGGGGGGAAAATCGCAGTCTATGAAATTGTACAATAAAATTCAAAATTCAAAATAAAAATTTAACAACAACAACAAAAGATCAGCAAAAAAAAAAAAAGTTTCTGTTAGGGTAACTCTAAGAGGAAAATTCAAAATTCAAACCCCAAATTCTGAAATATTCTGAATGTCAACATGGCAGCAAAACAGGAAAATCCTATGCTATGAAATTTTGTTTCACGTACAAAATTATACAAATGAACAAAACTATCATCAGGGCATGTGTGCAAGAGATACATAAATGAATTAATTCCATGCATAGGCTTGGGTCCCACTGTAATATATTCCTTTTTTAAAATTTTTTTTTCTCTCTAATACTTCTTATTACATATAATGCATATTGACAAAGTGACAAACCCGATACGCAAAATCTGAAACACTTCCCTCCCAAACATATTGAATAAAGAACAGCAACCATCTCTTAGAAACACTATAACTGGGCCCGGCGTGATGGTGCAGTGGTTAAGGTCCTCGCCTTACACGCCCGGGATCCCATATGGGCACCGGTTCTAATCCCGACAGCCCCGCTCCCCATCCAGCTCCCTGCCTGTGGCTCAGGAAAGCAGTCGAGGATGGCCCAAAGCTTTGGGACCCTGCACCCGGGTCTTTGGATTGGCTCAGCTCCAGCCGTTGCGGCCACCTGGGGAGTGAATCATTGGACTGAAGGTCTTCCTCTCTGTCTCTCCTCTCTGTATATCCGCCTTTCCAATGAAAAATAAAATAAATCTTTTTTTTTAAAAAAAGAAACACTATAACTTTAATAAAAAGATACAGTTTTCAAATTATCAGAATATGAACCTCTCTCCCTCCAAAGTAAACTCCGCCCACATGATGAAGGACTTTTAAAGAAAATATTAAAAATGGAACTAAGACCAAATATATCAGTTCTTCCAATAAATAAGTATAGGCTAAAATTACTAAAGAGAAAAGAAGCATTACTAGCAAGTTAACTGGTTAAACATATAAATGAGGCAGCCCTACATGCACTGATATGAAACCCAGACAGTAACTGACAAAAAGATGCAGAGCTATATGTGTGTACATATGTACACGTATGTAAGTGTGATGAGGTGGACGTGTTCCCAGGGTCTCTCAGAAAGAAAACAGAGGACCCCAAAAGGAGTGATTGGGAAGAGGAGCCAGCTGACTGTGGATGGGCTGTCCAGCAGACTCAGTATGCACTGGGAACCCTTGGGCCCTTTCTGAACGGCTGCACATAGATGAAAACCCAGCAAAGCAATCAAGGCACCTGAAGAGGGCTGAAGAGGTTTCACTGGCATAAGCACTCCAAACACTCCTGGCGGGTGCTACATTCACTATGGGTGAGCAGGGGGTCACACAGACTTGCAGACATACATGGCCCAGCATATACACAGGGCCCAGAAAAAGTTAGCTTCCTTCCTCCCTCCCACTTTTACAACTTAATCCTTCCTAAGAGATTAGAAAACAGGAAAAATGCACCAAAACCTTGGATTCATATAACAAGATAATCCCAGAGATGCTTTTAAACACAAATGTAGATAATTAAGTCATTTTCACACGAACTGCTATTAAGATGTTAGAGGGAGGGGT